AGAGATCATTTTATTTTTTCCTTTTCAATCTGTATATGTTTTATTTCTTTTTCTTGCTTTACTGCCATGGTTAGAACTTACAGTATGATGTTGAATAAGAGTGTTGAGAGGATGTCCTGGACTTTTTCCTAATCTAAGAGGAAGGTATTAAGTCTTTCATCATTAAATATGATGTTAGATGTAGGTTTTTTGTTTTGTTTTGTTTTTGTTTTTTTTTTTTTGCAGATGCCCCTTAAGTTGAGTCAACCATTTTCTACTGCTAACTTATTGAAGGTTTTTATTATACTTGTGTCTTGAATTTTGTCAAATGCTTTTTGTGTGTCGACTGATGTGGTCACATGATTTTTCTTCTTTAGTTTATTGAATGTTGGATTACATTAATCAATTTTTAAATGTAGAACCAGCATTACTTACTTGGTGTTAATATCACTTGGTCATTGTGTATAAATTTTTTATGCATTGTTGCATTTGGTTTGCTAATATTTTGTTGAATAATCTTTGTATCCAAATTCATAAGGGGTATTGGTCTGTAGTTTTTTTTATTGCTGTTGTTGCAATGTGTTTATCTGATTTTGGTCATTTTACATGGCGTTATAAAATTGATTGAAAACTGTTTTTTAGTCTTCTATTTTTGGAAAGAGATTGTGTAAAATGTATGTTAATTTTTTCTTTAAATGTTGATAGAATTCTCTAGTGAAATCATTTGGGCCTGGAAATTTCACTTTTTAGGAGGTTTTAAACTATGAATTCAATTTCTTCAGTTGTTGTAATGGTCTTTAGATTATAAGCTGTTTCTTGGTGATTTTTGGTTGTTCATGGTTTGCTAGAAATTGGTCAATTTCCTCAAAGTTTCTGAATTTATAAATGTAAAGCTGGTCATAGTATTTCTTCATAATTCTATGTAATGGCTGCAGGATCTGCAATGATATCCTTTATCTCATTTCTGATATTGGTGATTTGTGTCTTCTTTTTTAGACTTGTTAGTCTTGCTAAAGTTATTAATTTCATAAAAAATTTCAAAGAATTTGCTTTTTGTTTCATTGGTTTTTCTCAGTCTTGCTAACAATTTATTAATTTCATAAAAAAAATTTAAAGACTTTACTCTGTTTTATTGGTTTCTTTATTATTTTCCAGTTTTTAATTTCATATGGAACTTGCAATCAATTTCATTGATTTCTGCTTTTATTATAATTTACTATCTTTTGCTTTGAGTTTAATTTCTTCTTCCTTTCCTCCAGTTTCTTGAAGTGGTAACTTCAGTGATTGCTTTGAGGCTTTTTCTCATTTATAGCATTTGGTCTTATAAATCTCCCTCACAGAACTGTTTTAGCTGCATCCTACATATTTTAATGTATATTTTTGTTTTCTTTTGGTTCTATGTATTTTTTTTTTTAGTTTCTTTGAAGGTTATTTGATACATGAATTATTGATAAATGTATTGTTTAATTTCAATATATTTAGAGATTTTCCTATTGTATTTCTTTTACTGATTACAGGTTTGATTTTATTATTATCAGAGAACATGTTCTCATAATTTTAATTTTTAAAAACTTGTTGAGGTTTTCTTTTTGATAAGGAATATGATATATCTTGCTGCATATTCCATAGGCGCTTGTAGAAATGTATATTCTGTTGCCACTGGTTGTAGTGACCTGTATATGTGTCAATTAAATCCTATTTTGTTCAGATTCCCATATATCTGCTGACTTTCTGTATAATTTCTGTAAATTACTGAGACAAAGATGTCAAAATATCCAACTTCAATTGTGGATTTGTCTATTTTTCTTTCAGTGCTATTACTTTTTGCCTCATGTTTGGAGGCTTTGTGGTTTGGGGTGTAGATATTTAGGATAATTGTGTGTTATTGTTGGAATGATTATCATATCATGACATAGTGTCTTCATTTGTCTTTAGTAATTTTCTTTGCTCTGAAGTCTACTCTAAAGTATAAATATAGCTACTCCTGCTTTTATGGATAAAAGTTTGAACGATATATTTTTTCTGTCCTTTTTATTTAAATCTATCTCTGCCATTGAATTTGGGGAGAGTTTTTAAAAGCATCACATAGTTGAGTCATGCCTTTAATACAGTGTGGCCTGGTCTTTTGGTTGGTGTAATATTATTGCCTAAGTATGTTATTTCATTGTTTGTTTCCTCTGGTTCCTGTTCTTACTTTTGTCTTTTCTTGCCTTTCAATGGGTGATTTAAACATTGTTTTAGGATGCTATCTTGATCCAGTTATAATGTTTCTAAGTCAGCCATCTCTTTGAGTAGTTTTCATAGTGGCTGCTCAAGGTCTTACGATATATGTATGTGGCCTAAAGAGGCCACTTTGAGTGAAATGAGAAAACAACCTCACTCCCATTTTAGTTGTATTTACCTTCCCTACATTTAAGTATCATTAGTGGTGTTACAATTTTTGTTTCAATCATTAACTGTAATTTTAAAAACCTATAAAGAAATGGATAGTCCATTTTATTTACTCATCTTCCTTTCCTTGTTTTTTACTTCCTTTGTGGTGTTCCAAGATTTCTGATAAACATTTCTTTGCTATTTCAAGTTTACTGATTTTAGCTCAGTCACTTGGCTTTTTTTTTTTTTTTAAATTTAGGTTATTCTATTTTTTCATTCTATAATTCCCATTTGGTTGATTTTTATATCACCTGTTCCTGTGCTAAGATTTTTGTATTTTTTAATTTGTTTCAAGAAGATTTGTAATTGATTATTCATTTATTTTTATAATAGCTGCTTTACAGTCCTTGTCATATAATCCCATTATCTGAATCATCTTGGTTCTGATATCAGTTGGTTGTCTTTTATCATTCAAGCTGTGATTTTCTCAGCTCTTGGAAAGACTTAGTTGCATCCAGAAATTGTATTTATTATGTTAGGAGACTCTGTGTCAAATATAAAGCACTGTTTTAGCAGCAAGCAATCTCGTTTAGGTCTTGGCCTTCTTTTGTGGGCTATTCCAAAGGCAGTCAGAGCCTTTACAATGTTGTTTGGTTGGCTTGGTTTACCTATTGCCCCTGGAGTTCTCCATGGTCTTTGCTGGTGTCTCCTGGAAGGATAGGAGATTCGTCAGGCCAGCCAACTGCATGTCTCTCTGTAGGGGAGAGGTACGGTGGAGTTCTCCATCAGGTCCCAAGTTTCTCACTCCCACAGTTTTCCTTATGTCTCTGGATAGAGAAAGGGGTCTCAGACCTGCACATTCAAACAAGCCTCCTGTGCTAATATATTTGTTATGTTTCCATCTCTCCTTTTTGTTCTACCCATTCACTTGGTAATGTCTTTACATGGTATGAATTTTCACTCAAATGATTACATAGTCTTTAGGTGGACCTTAGGTGGGTCTCTTAAAGAATGTTTAAATAGAATATTGAAAAGTTAGGCAATTCTCCATTTTCCCTATTTATTTACAAGTTCAGCAGTATATGTTGTTAATGATCTTCACACCTCTTTTAAAAGCAATATAATATTTTAATTTTTATACATACATTTTTTGATGTTCTGACATATATAATCTAGTAATTTTGCATACATTATTAGTGAGTAAATCTTTAGAAAAGAGCTGAAGATCTCAAATGAATAATAGTTTTGGTTGAGTAAGATATTATGTGAGCAAGAATTTTTCTTCATTAGCATAGTTTTTGCGATAACATTTTTTGAATTGTATTTATTGTTTCAATAGAAAAGCCAAATGTGTGTTGGTTTTTACTTTTTATAATGGACTCTGATTTTTTACTGATTGGTAGGTGAATACTTTAATTAAACTATTATTAGAATATTATGTTCTACTGTATGTTCATTATTGTTATTATTCATATAACATACCAAAATATGAAAACAACATTAACAATTAATTAATGTTGCACAATATAATTATGCAATATTATTGGAAACATGTAATATTCTATAAATTGACAATATATTTAATATGATTTTAATAGTCTAATTGATTTAAGTCAAGAAGATACTATGTGAAGTTAAATTAACATACTGTTTTTGAGAGAAAGCTTCTGAGTAGACTTGCTAAATACAAATTTATTTCTATTTAGTAACATTTTGATAATAAATGGCACATAAAAAAAAACAGAGTCCCTGTTATTTCTTGCTCATTTCAAAATATATGGAATACATATATGATCTGAAGCCTCCCTTACCATCAAAATCTAAATGGTATTAGCTCAAACCTCCATTACAGAGTCCTGACTCTCCTGTTTCTGCATATAGTCATTATTATGACCCAAAGACAAAACTCACTCCAAATATAAAACTCTTTCACAACATGGTGAATTTAGTGACAGTTTTTTGATAATTAAAGAAGATCACATAAATGTATGTCAGAAATTAGAAAAATTTAAATTCACCCATGAAACTTTTCTTTCTTAGAAGGCCTTTTATCCATCTCACCAAGGGGAGTGTCCCATTGTCCCATTACCTCATATAATTACCTGTTGTCCTTTCTTCCCTCTTTCTTTGTATTTTGTCATATGGAAGAGTAAACTATCTTCCTTTGCTGCTGATACTCATGATTTTGAGATCTCACTTCTCTACTCAATAGTTCTCCAACCTGGCTGCTCTTGAGAAACAACTGGATCCTCTCCCCAGAGTTTTTGATATAATGCTCTCAAGGGGAGCCCACACATGGGTATATTTAAAAATGTTCTTCAGATAATTCTTGAACTCAAAGGACTAATCAAGTTGTTTTTTCCAGTAATTTATCTAAGTTGACTTCCGATACTAAATGGAAAGAAAATAACACCTCTGGTTTCTTACATATGATTACATCTTTACAATCTGAAAGTACGTAGTTTATTTCATGTTTACCTCAATGTAGTCACAATTTTTTTTTTTTCCACTGGACACTCACAGCTTTTTAATGCAAACTTTTGATAATATGAATTCTAGTATTTTCTTGAATTTTTAAACGTGTTAGCCATGCACAAAATCTGATTTTTTGACTGATATTATTTTGTACTTTTTTGCTTTGTTTTTAGTATTGTTTCAAAATGCGTTGTAAGCATGTTAGATTCCTGATGGATTTTGAAACGTGCGAGGCTTCTATTGAGTGCAGTGGTCATGGAGTAAGTAACTGCAATGTTTATTTTAAGCAGCTTGCTTTTAACAATCAAACAATTTGAAGATTTTTAAAAAATGACTTTTTTTGCTTGCCATTTTTATGTCATTTGGTGTCATTTAACAGTCTATAATTTATAACCTCAATTTTGTCTTCTTAAGAAACTTATCAAACTACTTTTTAGAGAAGACAAAGAGAAAACATTTAAGATGATTCTGGATGTTTAAAATGTTTGATGGATATGTGAGGTGGATATGCTATAAGCAATAGAAGATAGAAACTGGTAAATAAAGATCATTAGAATTTTCTTGCTAATCATGCAAGTTAATTTAGTGTCTAGGCCATCAGCTAGCAAGTAGATTATAATTAGTGACAAGTTACTGGTAATTTGAGGTATTTGGGCCTGGCTATGGGGGGAGTTAAAAGAATTTTTTAGAAAAAATTTGATTTGACAACAAAAGCTAGATGTACTTTGCATAGTATGAACATCAGCAAGGGAAAATTTGATAAATTTATCTATTTAGATAAATTCTCTAGAATGAGATACACTGTGGAGTAAGTATAGATTATTCATTAGTCTCCATCAAAATTATTCTTTTTTTTATTATTTAAGATTTGCAACAATTTTAACCATTGCCATTGTGAAAAGGGGTATAATCCTCCTCACTGCAAACCAAAGAAAGAAGCATTTGGAAGTATTGATGATGGACACTTAGTACCAGCTGGTTAGTGTTCTTAAAATTGTATTAATTATATATAGTATGTAAGACAGTAAATTATAGGTTTCAAGCCAGATTACAAAGCAACTAATGTCAACATGCTTTTATTTTATTTGTAAGATTTAAAAAATGTTGACAGTGCAAGTTTGTGCTGTTCTTTCTATATCAGCATTAACATTGTTTACTGAGAAAAAGTATGGCCAATGTTAGGCAGTTTTAAAAGTAGAAATTTTAGTGTGTAAAATTTGACCAGTTAATTTAAACTGTTCACTTAGGATCATCTCCTATATTTATATTTACTATTATATTTATGTTTACTGTATTTATTATAAACTCCTATAAACTAGAGCTTATAATAGTGTCAGTATAGTCATTCTTATATTAATGCCCCTAGAATCTTTCAGACTGTCTTTTCTTCCTATTCACTTATAATTGGTTGTCTTTCTCCTGCATTGTAAGGGCTCCATGCTAATCTTTGCAAATTTGCTCTTTCTAATCCTGTCCTGATGTTCCTGAGTGGTATTTTGAGATTAATCAGGCCTAGATGAATTGGGGTCAACTGGAGGTGCAGGGCATACCCTGGTTCTAGAAGGTATGAGTCTACCCCAAATAACTGGGAGCATAAATGGGCTGCAAACTCTACCCCCATCTCTCTCTTTTTTTGTGTGTGAGACGGAGTTTCGCTCTTGTCACCCAGGCTGGAGTGCCACGATCTCTGCTCACTGAAACCTCTACCTCCTGGGTTCAAGCAATTCTCCAGCCTCAGGCTCCCGAGTAGCTGGGATTACAGGTGCCCACCACCATGACCAGCTAATTTTTGTATTTTTAGTAGAGGAAGGGTTTCACCATGTTGGCCAGGCCTCTACCCCTATCTCTTTTAGGACCTTGCAAGAAAGTCCTGAAACTTTGGGGCAGACTTATCTGTAGCTTGGATGCTATATAAAAGCATACATAGGCTGATCAGCTTTTTAAAGAGACAGTACAAAGCCACGTCAAACTATGTATCAGACAAAAAATACCCCATAATAATTAAGCCTATAACATATAACTGCATATATTATTATTTTCATATGATAACATGAAAAATAAATGTTTATTTGAATATGTATTTTCAGTAAACAGTAGTTTACAGTGAGAAACAGAAAGTCCTATAATATAGCAATTTAGGGGGTGGAGCAAGATGGCCAAATAGGAACAGCTCCAGTCTCCAGCTCCCAGGGCCAGCAACACAGAAGACAGGTGATTTCTGCATTTTCAACTGAGGTACTGGGTTCATCTCACTAGGGAGTGTGGGACAGTCGGTGTTAGTCAGCTGCTGTAGCCCGACCAGCAAGAGCTGAAGCAGGGTGAGGCATTGCCTCACCTGGGAAGCCCAAGGGGGAAGGGAATCCCTTTTCCTAGCCAGGGGAACTGAGACACACAACACCTGGAAAATCGGGTAACTCCCACCCCAATACTGTGGTTTACCAAGGGTCTTAGCAAATGGGCACACCAGGAGATTATATCCCATACATGGCCGAGAGGGTCCCATGCCCATGGAGCCTCCCTGGTTGCTAGTACAGCAGTCTGGGATCTACCGGCAAGGCAGCAGCCAGGCTAGAGGAGCAGCGCCCGCCATTGCTGAGGCTTAAGTAGGTAAACAAAGCGGCTGGGAAGCTCCAACTAGGTGGAGCTCACAGCAGCTCAAGGAGTTCTGCCTGTCTCTGTAGACTCGACCTCTGGGGACAGGGCACAGCTAAACAACAACAACAACAACAACAACAACAAAAAGCAGCTGAAACCTCTGCAGACGCAAACGACTCTGTCTGACAGCTTTGAAGAGAGCAGTGGATCTCCCAACACAGAGGTTGAGATCTGAGACTGGACAGACTGCCTGCTCAAGTGGGTCTCTGACCCTTTAGTAGCCTGACTGGGAGACATCCCCCACTAGGGGCAGACTGACACCCTACACCTCACACGGTGGAGTACACCCCTGAGAGGAAGCTTCCAAAGCAAGAATCAGCCAGGTACACTTGCTGTTCAGCAATATTCTATCTTCTGCAGCCTCTGCTGCTGATACCCAGGCAAACAGGGTCTGGAGTGGACCTCAAGTAATCTCCAACAGACCTACAGCTGAGGGTCCTGACTGTTAGAAGGAAAACTAACAAACAGGAAGGACACCCACACCAAAACCCCAGCATACATCATCATCATCAAAGACCAGAGGCAGATAAAACCACAAAGATGGGGAAAAAGCAGGGCAGAAAAACTGGAAATTCAAAAAATAAGAGCGCATCTCCCCCTGCAAAGGAGCGCAGCTCATCGCCAGCAACGGATCAAAGCTGGACGGAGAATGACTTTGACAAAGATGAGAGAAGAAGGCTTCAGTCCATCAAACTTCTCAGAGCTAAAGGAGGAATTACATACCCAGCGCAAAGAAACTAAAAATCTTGAAAAAAGAGTGGAAGAATTGATAACTAGAATAATTAATGCAGAGAAGGCCATAAACGAACTGACAGAGATGAAAACCGTGACACGAGAAATACGTGACAAATACACAAGCTTCAGTAACCAACTCAATCAACTGGAAGAAAGAGTATCAGTGAGTGAGGATCAAATGCATGAAATGAAAGGATAAGAGAAATCTAAAGAAAAAAGAAGAAAAAGAAATGAACAAAGCCTGCAAGAAGTATGGGATTATGTAAAAAGACCAAATCTATGTCTGATTGGGGTGCCTGAAAGTGAGGGGGAAAATGGAACCAAGTTGGAAAACACTCTTCAGGATATCATCCAGGAGAATTTCCCCAACCTAGTAGGGCAGGCCAACATCCAAATTCAGGAAATACAGAGAATGCCACAAAGATACTCCTCGAGAAGAGCAACTCCAAGACACATAATTGCCAGATTCACCAAAGTTGAAATGAAGGAAAAAATCTTAAGGGTAGCCAGAGAGAAAGGTCGGGTTACCCACAAAGGGAAGCCCATCAGACTAACAGCAGATCTCTCGGCAGAAACTCTACAAGCCAGAAGAGAGTGGGGGCCAATATTCAACTTTCTTAAAGAAAAGAATTTTAAACCCAAAATTTCATATCCAGCCAAACTAAGTTTCATAAGTGAAGGAGAAATAAAATCCTTTACAGATAAGCAAATGCTTAGAGATGTTGTCACCACCAGGCCTGCCTTATAAGAGACCCTGAAGGAAGCACTAAACATGGAAAGGAACAACCGGTACAAGCCATTGCAAAAACATGCCAAAATGTAAAGACCATTGAGGCTAGGAAGAAACTGCATCAACTAACGAGCAAAATAACCAGTTAATATCATAATGGCAGGATCAAGTTCACACATAACAATATTAACCTTGAATGTAAATGGACTAAATGGTCCAATTAAAAGACACAGACTGACAAACTGGATAAAGAGTCAAGACCCATCAGTTTGCTGTATTCAGGAAACCCATCTCACATGCAGAGACATACATAGGCTCAGAATAAAGGGATGTAGGAAGATCTACCAAGCAAATGAAAAACAAAAAAAAGCAGGGGTTGCAATACTAGTCTCTGATAAAACAGACTTTAAACCATCAAAGATCAAAAGAGACAAAGAAGGCCATTACATAATGGTAAAGGGATCAATTCAACAGGAAGAGCTAACTATCCTAAATATATATGTACCCAATACAGGAGCACCCAGATTCATAAAGCAAGTCCTTAGAGACTTACAAAGAGACTTAGACTCCCATACAATAATAATGGGAGACTTCAACACCCCACTGTCAACATTAAACAGATCGATGAGACAGAAAGTTAACAAGGATATCCAGGAATTGAACTCATCTCTGCACCAAGTGGACCTAATAGACATCTATAGAACTCTCCACCCCAAATCAACAGAATGTACATTCTTCTCAGCACCACATCACACTTATTCCAAAATTGACCACATAATTGGAAGTAAAGCACTCCTCAGCAAATGTACAAGAACAGAAATGATAACAAACTGTCTCTCAGACCACAGTGCAATCAAATTAGAACTCAGGACTAAGAAACTCAATCAAAACCGTTCAACTACATGGAAACTGAATAACCTGCTCCTGAATGACTACTGGGTACACACTGAAATGAAGGCAGAAATAAAGATGTTCTTTGAAACCAATGAGAACAAAGATACAACATACCAGAATCTCTGGGACACATTTAAAGCAGTGTGTAGAGGGAAATTTATAGCACTAAATACCCAGAAGAGAAAGCTGGAAAGATCTAAAATTGACACTCTAACATCACAATTAAAAGAACTAGAGAAGCAAGAGCAAACGCATTCAAAAGCTAGCAGAAGGCAAGAAATAACGAAGATCAGAGCAGAACTGAAGGAGATAGAGACACAAAAAACCCTCCAAAAAATCAATGAATCCAGGAGTTGGTTTTTTGAAAAGATCAACAAAATTGATAGACCGCTAACAAGACTAATGAAGAAGAATAGAGAGAAGAATCAAATAAACACAATAAAAAATGATAAAGGGGATATCACCACCGACCCCACAGAAATACAAACTACCATCAGAGAATACTATAAACACCTCTACACAAATAAACTAGAAAATCTAGAAGAAATGGATAATTTGCTGGACACTTACACTCTCCCAAGACTAAACCAGGAAGAAGCTGAATCCCTGAGTAGACCAATAGCAGGCTCTGAAATTGAGGCAATAATTAATAGCCTACCAACCAAAAAGAGTCCAGGACCAGATGGATTCACAGCTGAATTCTACCAGAGGTATAAGGAGGAGCTGGTAGCATTCCTTCTGTAACTATTCCAATCAATAGAAAAAGAGGGAATCCTCCCTAACTCATTTTATGAGGCCAACATCATCCTGATACCAAAGCCTGGCAGAGACACAACAAAAAAAGAGAATTTTAGACCAATATCCCTGATGAACATCGATGTAAAAATCCTCAGTAAAATACTGCAAACTGGATCCAGCAGCACATCAAAAAGCTTATCCACCATGATCAAGTGGGCTTCATCCC